AGAAGTCTATTACAATGATGCCTTATGAATTTTTGTCTTTGTCTACAAAGAGAAAGGAGATACATGTATCTATGTTGGGCAAGCTGACATTGAACAATGTAGTTGAAAACTAATGGCTGATTCAAGATTTTTTCTTTAACATAAAGAAATGACACACATACTCTGATAATGAAAGTTAATTGTACATGTACTTATTACTCCTTGCTTGGGCTTAAGCCTACTCTCTCGCTAACTTCAAATTACAATTAAAACATGCTAGACAAATGAAACATGTCTACTTTAGTGCAAAAAATGAAAAGCATTCAGCCTGAGTGATCTTTTGTCTTTTTAATTATTCCTATTGCTTGCATAAAAGTATAAAAAATTATATTTCTCTATTACAATGGTTTTGTAAATAGATCAGTAACTTCCCTCCATTGGCAATAGGTTGGCAGACAACAACAACAAAAAACTGATAAGATTTAATAAACAAATGCATCAGTATGATTGCAAGCAAAATATCCACTTACCAACCATGCCTGTGGTATATCAGTGTAGAGTACAACTATTATTGCTCATACTAGTATTGTCCTGGCAAATGTTGTACAGCAAAAGCAGTACTTCTTAACTAGGATAACCATTATCAACTTTTCAATTTGAGAGCAAAAGCCTTTCAAGACAGCTTAAACAGTCAGTATAAATGTCTATCCCATATCTGTTTGAATTCTGAAGAGGGTTAACTTCATTCTGCAGTTCCTGCAACACTTCATCAGAAGGTTGAAGGGCATCATCAACTTCAACTGTAGGAAGTCCATCATCTGTAGAGGTTGGTGCACTGGGGTCAAACCCATAYCACTCAAGATCATCAACTGATGGCTCTAGTTGCACTATGTCAGCTACTGGAGATAGAGTTCTATTTCGAATATCAACCATTCCATTTACCCACATTCTTTGAGGCGACCAGTTGGTTTCAGTTCTTATTGGGTGATTGTTCCAAGCTGTGGTAAAACTTGCAAGAGCTCGATTGATACGAGGTAGAAATGTGAAATGCAGTGCATATTTATGAGTAGGATTCTCCATATTCAACAAACCACTCTCTTCTATTACCTGGAATGTATAGTAGAATATATGTGCAACACAACGAAAGACATCACGCCAAAGGCGCTCTATTCGTTGGTTATGAGTAGATGTTCCAGYTAAGTAGCTACCCCTGTTTGACCCT